TAAATCTATACTTACGAGACGTAAGTATAGTTAATCTAAGTTTAAGCAAACTACGCTTCCTCATACACGTGCGCTAACGTGTAAGCCGAAGTAGTGGGCACGTAGCAAGCCCATTACAATTGCCACCTAATAAATTTCCCGGAAAGCCATACTTTGTTAAAGTAATCTGCGAAACTTCTCGTGGCTTCATCGGATCTCCAAACAGCCAGAATGTTGTAGGCCTTAGTCACGAAATCCTGAAGGCTCGCAGCGAAATGAAGATCGTAAATATCCTTTCGTACGCGATTCGCCAACATGTCCTCCACTGATTTCAATCGATCGTTCACATTTTTCATAACGTGGAAAAAGCACATGAGGTACACAAACGGTTGGCCTTCCCCCACAGTATTACCAATGGCATTGTACTGTGCGTCATACGCGTCTCCCATAACATAGTATACCATCAGCCGCTTTCCTGTGACTGCTGTATATACACGTTTCAACGCCGCAAACGCTTTCGTGTACATGTCCTCTACAATTTGAGAGACGATCACCATCGCCGTCAAGTGAAACCGCCGCCGCTTGTCTGACATACCCAAAACTAATACGGGGTAGGAGACCTGGTTCAATTTGAACGTAGCGTCAACGTGAAGAATGTAGGTTCCAGGATCACGACCAAGGCGCACCAACAGCGTTTTAGATGTGATTCCAACCAAAAATGGGTTGTTGTCTGACCCGTTTCCAACGACAGGTTTTCCATCCACATCTAAATCCCACCCAAACATGAAAGCTTGTGCATGTTCTCCTCGACCGGTAAAAGCTGCATCGCGCACCATTTGCATGATCTTATCGTGGCGATCATTGTTGCCGAGTTTTGTTCAAGAGTAATAATTCACCAGATTCTGCACCATTTTTAGTGTAGGCGCTGTATCCTCTGACAATTGCATCTTGATCTTCATCTCATTCCGAATTTCAATCCTTGCTCCGCCATCTCCTTGCAAAACTCTTTCTGTGGTGGTGGCATCACTTTTTTGCGAGGTTCAACCACGTTAGAAAAGTGTTCGTTTAGCTCGTAAACAGCCATGATGTTGGAGCGCTCACATGTGAGAATTTTTCCGCGCCAGGGGCATTTGATCGTAGGGGCGTAGTCCTTGCATGTCGTAGATATGCATTCTAACAGCCCATACCGCATTTGATGAAGTAAAGGGTTGGTGCATATGGAGCAAGCGGTAGGTTGGCTACGTGTCAGTTTGTAGGCCTTGAGAGTTTCCAAAAACTCCTTGCCGTCGCTGATTCTGACGCCGACAGTGACTTCGAGCCATGGAAGCTTTTGCGGCATGGCTGTCCGTTATTATCCTGCTCACTGCCCTTAGTGTGTCCACCAGTTCCTAGTGTAGCTGCGATCGCTCCTTGCACGTTCACCCCCTTCTCGTTGTCGTGGATGTCGCCTCGTTCAATTTTTCAAATTTCGGTTAATATGATAAGCTATAATTATTTCGTTTGCTCAACGATGATTGGGTAGGATGCTATTATATTCGCCGTATTAACAAGTGGAGCAATCGATGTGTTGTGATGTGTACAAGCTTTTTTGTGTGTGACTCTGCCTCATCTTTCTGTGTTTTCCAATATTTGTTGTGCTCCCCCTCCGGTTGGATTCGAAAACACAACTTCGGCTATTATTTAGCGGTTGTCCAAAAGAAGTGCAAGGCAATGACAAAAGTGATGGAATTTTCGGACGGAAGGATTCCATTAAATTGTATTCGTTTGT